CCTCCTGGCAAGAAACAGCACCTTCTACCATGGCCATCAATTTTCTTCGTACACCAAGAGGGCTTCCATCCGTGGCAGGTCTCAGCACAAGTCCACTCCGCGTCTTAGAAATTGCAAAGAACTGGCCAGGTGCAGTGGCTCATGTCTGTAATCCCAGCACTTTGGGAAGCCAAGGTGGGAGGATCATGAGGTCAGGAGATTGAGACCATCCTGACCGACACGGTGAAACCCCATCTCTACTGAAAATACAAAAATTAGCCAGGCGTGGTGGCGGGCGCCTGTAGTCCCACCTACTCGGGTGGCTGAGGCAGGAGAATCGCTTGAACCCGGGAAGCGGAGCTTGCAGTGAGCTGAGATTGCGCCACTGCACTCCAGCCTGGGCGACAGAGCAAGACTCTGTCTCGGAAAAAAAAAAAAAAAAAATACAAAGAACTTTCCACAACTTGCAGGGGAGCCCCTCTCTGGAAAGGTGGTCGAATCTAAAAAGAGTTGCTAAGGAAAGGCTGGTTCTCAGGATGAGCCAGACTGTAAATATTTCTACTTAAGACCAATACCTCTAAGATGTAAAGTTTAAATATAATGTCATATAAATTTCCAAAAGTCACTTTAGTGAAAAGTGTTTTAGCCTTTACGACTCAGTGCAAATGGTGTGAAACGCATCCACTGGTGACGTGTCTCAGCCTCCTTCCACAGCCACGCAGCTCAGAGGCCAAGGTGGGCCGACCGCAGGGTTTCCAGAAGGAGAAGGAGTGTTGAGAATAGCTCATCTTGAAATCCATCACCCACCTTTTAGAAAGTGGTATGAAATTAAGATCTTTCTTTTTATTTTCTTTTTTTTCTTTTTTTTTTTTTTTTTTTTTTTTTTTGACCTAGTCTCGCTCTTGTCTCCTGGCCTGGAGGTACAATGGCATGATCTTGGCTCACTGCAACCTCCACCTTCCAGGTTCAAGGGATTATCTGGCCTCAGCCTCCTGAGTAGCTGGGATTACAGACGCCTGCCACCGTGCCCAGCTAATTTTTGTATTTTTGGTAGAGATGGGGTTTCACCATGTTGGTCAGGCTGGTCTCGAACTCCTGACCTCAGGTGATCTGCCTACCTCGGCCTCCCAAAGTGCTGGGATTACAGGCGTGAGCCACCTCACCTGAGAAACTATGATCTTTTATAGGGAGGAGATGTTACCATTGACACGCTCATCGAATGTTCATTACACACACACATACACACATACACACACACACATGCACACACACACATACACACACACGCACACACACACATATACACACACACATACACACACATACACCCACACATACATACATACACACACACATACACACACACACACATACGTACACACACACACACACACACACATACACACACATACACCCACACATACATACATACACACACACATACACACACACACATACGTACACACACACACACACACACACAGAGTATTTCAGGCTGCTATCATTTGTCAGTCCTGAAGTATTGCCTCAAAATCAATGAACAATCTTGGTGGTGACAGTCCAGCATCTACTGTCCAACACTATGGCTTGACTGACCACTTTCCTCAATATCAAGGGACTCAGGTTTCGATCTTTTAATGTAAGCTGTAAGAGTTTAGAAAATGTCGTTAGACCCCAGCATCAATAACGGGTCCAGGAAACACACCTCACCACTGAAAAGCAGGCTAGTGGCCCTGTTCTTTTGTCAGATTTAGAATAACGGGTTTGGACCAGGTCCCCGCACTGACGATGCAGACCTCGGCTGGTTATGGAAGCCCACGGTCAGGGGAGCTCTTTCCAGAGGAGTCAGCGGAGCTGAACTGCCTGAGACAGGAACCGCAGGCCTGGGGACTGAGAGGGGCTCAGAGGGCGATGCCATGGGCGACTGGTGGGTGGGGACTGCCCCTCCTGAAGGGACTAAGGTTCCACGTGTTCCCCTTAAAAGAGGAAGTCCCAGGAGCACAGGTGTTGAGGCTTCTGCGGATTAAAAGCCCCACCGTGTTCCACGGGCAGGTGGCTCCTGTTTTCTGGACGGCTGGGGACAGTGGACTTGACCACCGGAAACCCCCAGGCAGGAGGAAGCCCAGCAGTCCTCAGGCCCTAGGCCAGGGGGGGTGGTGGAGGTAACTCAGAGCCTGGGGGCTGCTCCGCGGGGGGTCCTGCCTGCAGCCTTCCCTTCTGGCCCACCGCCCCCTGTCCTGCTGTGTCACTCGGGAAGGGGGTGAGTGGCGGGCCAAGGGGAGGGAGCCTCCAGCAGAAGCCGGACGTGTTGGTGGAGCCCACTCTGCGAGGCCGTGCCCAGAGACTCCAGCCCCTCTGCTGCTCTGCAGAAGCGCTGGCCAGAAAGGTGGAATAGGGAGGAGCTTCATGTTCTCTGCACCACAGCTTCCTAGTGGATTCCCTGTGGCAGCCAGGGTTGTCCCCTCCCAGGCACTGAAGCTGACACATGTGGGGAGACACAGGGGGCCAGGTGTCCTGTGGGGGTCCCTGGAGCAGCCACCTCACTCTGCCCAGGTCCACCCCACACACTGCTACCCCTGAGGGCCACTCACATCATAGGGAACAGGTCCCGGAGCCTCGACTTCAGGGTGGGTGCCCTAGAAGCTTGGCACCCTGGACCTCACCACCCTGTCCCCGAGCTCAGCCCGGCTCCGTCACGTCTCACCCCTTCCCTCCCTCCCATCCCTCTGGATAAGGCTCGTGCAGCAAAGCAGTGCCCCGGGGTTCCCGGTGACCCTGGGGAAGGGGACCAGCCCTATGGGGTCTGTGGGTTTTTCTCCCCATGTGCGGAGATGAGAGATCATAAAAATAAAGACACAAGACAAAGAGATAGAAGAAAAGACAGCTGGACCCGGGGGACCACTACCACCAAGAGTCGGAGACCGGCAGCGGCCCCGAATGCCAGGCTGTACTAATATTTATTGGATACAAGACAAAGGGGCAGGGTAAGGAGTGCGAGCCATCTCCAATGATAGGTAAGGTCACGTGGGTCACGTGTCCACTGGACAGGGGGCTTTTCCCTGTTTGGCAGCCGAGGCTGGGGGGGAGAGAGAGAGAGAGGGGAGACAGCTTACTCCATTATTTCTGCATATCAGAAACTTTTAGTACTTTCACTAAGTTTGCTACTGTTATCTAAAAGGTGGAGCCAGGTGTACAGGATGGAACATGAAAGCGGACCAGGAGCGTGACTGCGGAAGCACAGCATCGAAGGGAGACAGTCAGGCCTCCGGATAACTGCGGGTGCACCTGACTGATGTCAGGCCCTCCATAAGAGGTGGTGGAGCAGGGTCTTCTCTAAACTCCCCTGGGGAAAGAGAGACACACCCCCCCCCCGCCGCCCTTCCCGGTCTGCTGAGTAATGGGCGCCTTTTCTAGGCACTGAGGCTACCGCTAGACCAAGGTCCGCTAGGCAACGGGCGTCTTCCCAGGCGCTGGCATTACTGCTAGACCAAGGAGCCCTCTAGTGGCCCTGCCCGGGCGTGACGGGGGGCTCACAGTCTTGTCTTCTGGTCACTTCTCACCGTGTCCCTTCAGCTCCTCTCTCTGTATGGCCTGGTTTTTCCTAGGTTATGATTATAGAGCGAGGATTATTATAATATTGGAATAAAGAGTAACTGCTACAAACTAATAATTGATCATGTTCATATATAATCATATCTATGATCTATATCTAGTATATTCTTATTTTATATATTATCTTTATTATACGGGAACAGCTCGTGCCCTCGGTCTTTTGCCTCGGCACCCAGGTGGCTTGCCGCCCACATGCACCCCACCCCGTCTTGCCAGAGACTACAGCCTCTGCGGTGAACCTCCTACCTGGGCATCGGGCCCCTGCCGGTGACAGTGTGGAGGTGGTTGGGGGTGCCGAGAGACAGGAGCTGAACGGTGGGCTAGGGTACCCCCCAACTGGGAGATCCCGCAGCCCTGGCAGTTCTCTGACCCTCAGGAGCCCCCTCTGCTGGTCAGGAGTCCAGGGGGTTCTTCCTGCTGCTGTTTCCCTAACCTGGTGGTGGGAGGCCTGGCACAGCGGCTCCAGGTCACATGGACAGGAAAACAGGATAGAGGAGCAGCCACCAGTGCAGTGCGCTGGGCCTGTGGCCAGACACACTGACCACCCAATGTCCAGCGCTGGGGCAGGTCTCTCTCTGTGTTGTGGATGGGAGGGTCGCAATGCAGAAGGGGCTCCTCTCCCGGGTGCCAGTTTGGGGCTACCCCGCAGCACCCACCAGACCTCCCTCTCTGAGCCTGTGGGTACTGGGGGTCCTCAGCCATTGAAGGGAGAGCCAGGGGTCGTGTCACTTCCCCCTTGTCCATCCCCAGCACTTTTGAAGGGACCTGGAGAAAGAGGGGAGGGGCCCGGCCACAGGGAGGTGGTGCAGCCCCTGGAGTCTCAGCGCTTGCCCTGCCTGGAACAAGGGTGCTAGGGCTGCTGGTGCCTCCCCAGCCCGTCCTGGCCTCCAGTGATGTGGTGCCCCCAGAAACACACGCGGAGGACCCCAGGAGGGGCCTGGGGCAGCCAGTGGTAAGTGGGGCAGATGGGGTCACGGCGTTGCGGACTCCCAGCTCAGGGGTCCAGGGTGCTCCCTTGGCTCCCCTGGGAGAGAGGGAGGGAAGGAGGGAGCAGGACCCACTGCGGTCCCCACCCTCCCGAGAGCGAGTTGCCACCGGTTCATGCCCAGGGTCAGGGTGGACGTGGGCACAGCCGCAGTGACAGATTCTGCCTCTGTCTCTGAGGCCTGGGCCCAGGGTCGCGGTCCACCCCCCACCCCTCCATGCCTCTCCGCTGCTGGGTGTGACCCTGTTGCTTCATGTCAGGGAAGAAGCAGAAGAGAATTCTCTGATCCATCAGGAACAACCAGGGAAGAGCCAGGACAGCCCCCGGGCCTCCTGCCATCGCCCTAAGGAAGACCCCTCTCCAGCTGTGGAGGGGAGGCCAGGGCCTCGGTCTTGGTGTGTAAACACCAGGGGATGGGGGGGCCATGGAGCCCACACTGGAGAGGACTTTGAAGGGAGCTTTCCAGAGCCCCAAAACCTCCATCAGGTAAGGGTGGTCTGGGGTGGAGGTGGTCTGGGGATGGGATGGTCTGGGTTGGAGGTGGTCTGAGGGTCGCGGTGGTCTGGGAGTGGGATGGTCTGAGGGTGGAGGTGGTCTGGGGTGGAGGTGGTCTGGGATGGAGGTGGTCTGGGGTGGAGGTGGTCTGAGGGTGGAGGTGGTCTCAGGTGGAGGTGGTCTGGGGTGGAGGTGGTCTGGGGTGGAGGTGGTCTAGGGTTGGAGGTGGTGTTGGGTGGAGGTGGTCTGGGGTTGGAGGTGGTGTTGGGTGGAGGTGGTCTGGGGTTGGAGGTGGTGTTGGGTGGAGGTGGTCTGAGTGTGGTCTGTTTGCCTGCATTCCAGCTGAAAACAACTTCAGACAAGTCACTATAAGGCTGGGATGAGATGAGACAGAATGGCCCTTTCATAATTTTGTCTAAACACCGACAAATCAGGATCCCAGTGCCCGCCATGAAATGCCAAACCTCCCCTTTTCTCTGCTAACAGGAGCTGGGCCTTGCCTGGGATCAGACTTTCGCCAGCTAGTCATGGGGGCTCCAGCTTTCCGGCAGCCTCCAACCTGGGGAGATCCCCAACCACCCAGCCACAGCCCAGTCCTACAGAGGGTCTTCCTGATGCTCCTCCTGTGATCCCAGGGTGCCCATGGTGTGTGTGGCCGCATGCCCTGAGTTGTAGCCCAACCTTTCAACCACAGGCAGCTCCTGGGGCTCTGGCTGGACAGAGAGGCCAGGGTCAAGGGGCAGGTGAAGCCTGAGGGTGCGCGGGAGCGGCCAGGGATGGCCCTGAGCATGGAGGGTCTCCCCCGCTTCCCCGGGTACCCACAGGAGTTACTACAGCCACTTTCCACGTGTCTGGGGCTCTGCCACGTATGACCAACTCCCCGGGAAAATGAAGTGGCTACAGGTCTCAATCAAATCCTTTAAAGAAAAGTTTCAGGAAAGAGAAATATTTACCACAAGCAGAGGGCTGAGGAACTAAGAAATAGCTCTGGGTGAGAAGACACGTGGGACCCAAGCTGCAGGTCCAGTGAGAGGGACAACAGTGGGCGAAGATCCGCGAAACCCTTTCCGTGAGACTCCCACTCCTGTGGGAAGATGGAAGTGGCCCGGGCCAGTGGGAGAGCCCAGTGGGATGCCAGGGCGGCACTGGGCACTGCATGGGGAGCCAGGGCCGGTGGTGGGGGGGCTCCGGGAGAGATGAAAGCCGCCTGCCCCAGGCACAGGACTAAGGGCTGCACACAGCACGGGAAGACCCTCCCTTTAAGACGTTTCTCCCCATGCCCTCTTCCCCCTGCAGCCCTCCTCTGCTCCCCAAGTTCCAAACACACCAAGCCAGAGCCTGCTTGAGCCTCGAGCCCTTTGCACTTGCTCTGCTGCGGGTTATAAAGCAAAATGTAAAACGCAACGTGCATCACGTCCAGTTCACATATTTCCACCATGTTGGGGCGTTTTTAAGGGTCACGCTTGATTTTTAGCCTAAAGCCAGTGACAGCCACTCAATCTTTGGAGACTGGGATGCCAGGGTTGTCGCCTGCATCCGCGGTTGGAGTTTGCCAGGCAGCAGGAGCCTTGGGCCAACTTTGGGCTCCAGAAGCTGCCACCTCGGGCCTGTGGCTCTCCCGCCATCTCGCCACAGAGTCCCCTGGCGGCCCTGCTGAGTCAAGCCGGCTTCCTGCCTTCCCAGACCTGGCTCGTCCTGGCTCGTCCCTGAAACCCAGGAGGGAACCCTGAGACTCTCAGCCCCTCTGCCCAGAGCTGCTCAGGCTCGCTTGGAGCCCGGCACGCGTTTGGCAGATATTTACTGTGTGTGCACTATGTGCCCGGCACTGTCATTGAACCAGAGGGTAGAACAATGACCACAACCAGGGACACCTGTTCTCAGGGCTCCAACCTTCTGGGAAGGGATGGGTACAGTAAAGGGCGTCTGTGAGGTGACAGGTCCAGCGAAGGAACGCAAACAAGGAGACGGAAAGACGGAGCTGCTAGTTTACACGGGCACTGGTGAACATAAACGTTTGTGTTTAAGGACAAAGAAAATGGTTGTAGCTGTGCAGGCGTGTGGGGTTCACACTGGGACAATAACCACGGTTGAAGCCTGGTGCCCCCCAGCTTAGGAGAAAGAAGGAATGAGGAGCTGTGTGCAAGCTCTGATCGAGATGGCCCAAACCCAAGAAGCCAAAAGTGTATTGGGGTGCAAGCTACACTTTACACTCTTATGCATTCTTCCATGTGTAAAAAAGTTTGGACACCCAGAGAATCTTCGTTTAGTGCCTTTCAAATCGAGGGAGCAAAAGGTCCTGCCTCCAGGGGCTGGGAGAGCCTCACACACACAACACACAAGGTAATGACTGATTTTTCCTTTTCTGCGAGGAATTTCCTCATCTCTCTCTTCCCAGCTCAGGAATGAGCCTTAGGAAGGGGCAGAGGTCGAACCTTTTGGTTCAAGCAAGGCCTGGGGTCCGAGGGGGAGGCCTAGCTGGAGGAGACTGGGGGGTTTGGAGGAGTGGGGGAGACGCCGCAGGTGACCGGAGCCCCCCTCCTCAGCACAGCCCCTAGCTCAGGCCCCTGAAGCGCTCCGGGTGGAGGCTGCAATCATTACTGTAAAACCATTGTCTTAGAGAGCAGGCGCCTTCCGCTCCTGGCATGGTGCTGAATAGAGATACGGTTTTGCTTTAGATATGAACGTGCACGTTTGCAGGAAAACCTAACTATGGGTGTGCCTGTGTTTATACCGTATGAAGGACTTCTCCGTCTGTTGCTGTTCTATTGTTACTGTATCAGGCGCTGATGGTTTATTAATACCTTTTCAGCAACATGGAGAAAACAGATGATGTTTTCCCCGTATCTATCATCACTACAGTGAGTCTTTTATTTGTTGGTTTGGTTTTTTCATTGTCGTTGTTGTTTTTCTTGAGATGCTCAAGCTAGAGTGCAGTGGCGTGATCTGAGCTCATTGCAACCTCTGCCTCCCGGGTTCAAGCGATTCTCCTGCCTCAGCCTGCCGAATAGCTGGGATTACAGGTGCCCGCCACCATGTATTTTTAGTAGAGCCAGGGTTTTGCCATGTTGGCCAGGCTGGTCTTGAACTCCTGACTTCAGGTGATCCACCTGTCTCAGCCTCCCAAAGTGCTGGGATTACAAGTGTGAGCCACCACATGCAGCCTCATTTGTGTCTGGTATTATTTACAATATCAGGCATATTTGCATTCTTGATGTCAACCCTTCATTGCCACGATGCATCATTGTGCAAATCCGATGCTAGGTCTGATTTGCCAAGCCCAGAGTTGGGGGTGAGAGTGTGGCGAGCTCAGGTGAGGACACGGGAGGGGTCTGAGGAGCTGGACCCTGGGGAGGGAGAGAGGTGGGCCAGACACAGAAATGGTGGGACTCCTGGTTCAAAAGGCAGCAAAAGGCTGGGCGTGGTGGCTCAGGCCTGTAACCCCAGCACTTTACGAGGCTGAGGTGGGCAGATCACGAGGTCAGGAGTTCGAGGCCAGTGTGGCCAACATGGTGAAACCCTGTCTCTACCAAAAATACAAAAATTAACCAGGGGTGGTGGTGTGTGCCTGTAATCCCAGCTACTCTGGAGGCTGAGGCAGGAGAATTGTTTGAACCCAGGGGGTGGAAGTTGCAGTGAGACAAGATTGCGCCAGTGCACTTCAGCCTGGCGGACAGAGCAAGACTCTGTCTTGGAAAAAAAAAGAGCAGCAAAAAACCACAGTGAAAGCCTTCCCCTTTAGGAATGATTTTATCATTTAGACAATAAATAGGGGTGATAGTGGTGCCAAGTAACAACATCAATGAACAAACTACAAAATAATAATGTTTGGATCCATGATTTTACATAATATAATAAATAATATTTTATTAATGGGATATGTTTATGATTTTTCTGATTTTTTTCTGCAAATTCATTTATTAGAGCATCGAAATAGATAATTTAGAAATTTCATTTTTGGTTTTGACATAACTGAAAGCTATTTCAGTCTTTTTTGGCAAATGTAAGATCTCAAATAATTTTTGATGACCTTTGAGAAGAATCTTTGTGCTGATACAGCTGTTATTGGAGCAGTAAAGGTATTTTTTGGGCTGCGACAACATTAGGATAAGTTTCTGATAAATTGTTTTAAATTACAAATGTCAGCACATCTAGACCTGGTGATTCTTGTGGATAAATTTTTTTTAATTTAATTCTTCAAATAAATCAGTTTCATGTGACTTTAAATTATTTTTTAGTAAGCTTTATTCTTTTTTTTTTGAGACGGAGTCTCGCTCTGTCGCCCAGGCTGGAGTGCAGTGGCTGGATCTCAGCTCACTGCAAGCTCCGCCTCCCGGGTTTACGCCATTCTCCTGCCTCAGCCTGCCGAGTAGCTGGGTCTACAGGCGCCCGCCACCTCGCCCGGCTAGTTTTTTGTATTTTTTAGTAGAGGCGGGGTTTCACCGTGTTAGCCAGGATGGTCTCGATCTCCTGACCTCGTGATCCGCCCGTCTCGGCCTCCCAAAGTGCTGGGATTACAGGCTTGAGCCACCGCGCCCGGCCGTAAGCTTTATTCTTTGGAATTGTTTTAGATTTGCAGAAAAATTGCAAAGAAAGTTTCCATACACCTTACACCCAGCTTCCCCCATTATTAGTATCTTACTTCAGTATGGTACATTTCTCACAATTAAAGAACCAATATTGGGCCGGTCGCGGTGGCTCACACCTGTAATTCCAGCACTTTGGGAGCCTGAGGCAGAAGGATCACTTGAGGTCAGGAGTTGGAGACCAGCCTAGCCAACATGGTGAAACCCTGTCTCTACTAAAATACAAAAATTAGCTGGACGTGGTGGCAGGCGTCTGTAATCCCAGCTGCTCAGGAGGCGAAAGCAGGAGAATCACTTGAACCCAAGAGGTAGAGGTTGCAGTGAGCTGAGATCGTAGCACTGCACTCCAGCCTGGGCCACAGAACAAGACTCTGTCTCAAGAAAAAACTAAACTAAACTAAAAACTAAATAACGACCCAGCACGGTGGCTCATGCCTGTAATCCCAGCACTTTGGGAGGCTGAAGCAGGTGGATCACTTGAGGCCAGGAACTCGAGACCAGCCTGGCCAACATGGCAAAACCCCGTCTCTACTAAAAATACAAAAATTAGCCAGGCGTGGTGGCCAGCACCTGTAATCCCAGGTATGTAGGAGGCTAAAGGAAGAGAATTGCTTGAACCTGAAAGACAGAAGCTGCAGTGAGCCGAGATCACACCACTGTACTCCAGCCTGGGCGACAGAGCGAGACTCCATCGCAAAAAAATAAAAATAATAAAATAAAATAGAGAACCAATATTGATGCATTATTATTAACCGAAGTCCACATTTTTGTCTTCTCTCATTAGCATTTACCTGCTGGTCCGTTTCTGTCCCAGGGCCCCACGCAACATTCCCTCGTCCATCTCCCTGGGCTCCTCTGGCCGGTGACCGTTTCCCAGGCTCTCCTTGTTGGTGGTGACCTGGACGGTTCAGAGGACTGGTCAGATGTTCATAGGGTGCCCCTTATTGGGATCTATCTGGTGTTTTCACGATTAGACTGGGCTGTGGATGTGGGAAGGAGGAGCACAGAGGGAGATGCCCTTCTCGTCACCCTGTGCTGAGGGCTTGTCCTGTTGGCATGGCTCATCGTGCCTCGTGGACTATGCTGCCCCGTCTCCTGGCTGAGCTCCTGTCCATCAGGTTCCCCACGGAAAGATGCTCCCGAAATCCCTCATCCTGGGCTGCGCTCTCAGAAGGCAGTCCCGGCGCTGTCCGCACTTAAGGGGTGAGGGCTACACGAAATTAGTGGGAATCCTTCTGCATGGAGGACTTGCCTATCCACTCCAATTTATTTATTTACTTTAATTTATGTATTTATTTTGGAGATGGAGTCTCGCTCTGTCACCCAGGCTGGAGTGCAGTGGTGCGATCTCGGCTCACTGTGACCTCTGCCTCCCAAGTTCAAGCGATTCTCCTTTATTTGTTTACTAGATCACTTATTTCTAACCGTTGTGCTCACGGATATCTATTATACAGTTCGGGTTGGAGTCAGTGCTACTCTATTTATTGTGCGGATCGAATTGTTCTATTTGTGACCCCCAGGAGTGCTTTCCGTTGGCTCCCGCGTCCCTGCAACCTGCACCTGATATTTCCCGTCACTGCACGTGTGGCGGTTTTGCGTTGTTTTCTTTTAGATTTTTTTTTTCTGGAGCTACAAGATGCTCCAGGCTCACCTTTATCTTTTCTGCCTCAGTCCTAGAAGTTGCCACGTCTCCAAGGGTCCCTGGTCCTTGGGTTGGAGCCTGGTATTCAACCTCCCGCTGCTGTGGGGTGCCATAGCTCTGGGGCCCTCGTGAGGCAGGAGAGGTTGCCAAGGAAGTGGCCGTCTCCTCGCAGCAACCGTGATCACAGGGCCAAGGCAACAAGCCTCCGTGTTCACAGTCATTGAGCTCATTCCAGCAAAGCTATCTCAGGAGGAAATTTCCCCGTACAGAGCATGCGCATTTTGGCTTTACCTGTCCTCAGACCGACCCTTTGCTCCTTATAATAGTATAAAGCACACCCCTGGGTGGAGATTTAAGATGCTAGTGAGACATGCACGGTATGAACAAGTGTGTACAGCTACTGCGCACGTGCACCCAGAGGACCACCCAGAGCACGCTTCCTAGCAACACCTCTTCGCAGCTCCTTAGGAATAATCCCATAAAGGACTCTTAGGAAGAGTCCCATAAAGGGAGCCTTCGTCGCGCTGGTCTCTGCTGTCTCGTCCTCACGAACAGCCCGCCCTACCCCCTCAGTTTCCCAGGGCGTCCTGTCTGTTTTGTGCCTCACTTTCACAACATTCTTTCTCCTTTGCAATGAATTCCTCTGTGCTGCATCTCCTGTGTGTCTCGTTTAAATTATTTTAAACTAAGAAGACAAGAATTGAGGTCTCACAACAGCTGTCAACAGTCTCCGCTGACAGAGCAACAGGACATACGTGTGCATCCTAACCACGTCTGCACACGTCTGCAGGTGTTTGTGTGTGACCATCTGTGTCTGTACTAAGCTGAGCATGAGTTCCTAGTGAGGTCTCCACTTCTAATCCATCACCTTGGACATCACTGCAACCTCAGCCTCCCCAGTTTAAGCAATTCTCCTGCCTCAGCCTCCTGAGTAGCTGGGACTACAGGCGTGCACCACCACACTTGGCTAATTTTTGTATTATTAGTAGAGATGGAGTTTCGCCATGTTGGCCAGGCTGATCTCAAACTCCTGACCTCTGATGATCCGCCTGTCTTGGCCTCCGGAAGTGCTGGGATTACAGGCTTGAGCCACTGCACCTACCCTGTCTTACCCTTTAACCATCAGTTCACCTGAAGCTTTATATGAAAACAGTATTCCTTTCCATCAAATATAATGTTCTTTACTTTTTGATTTTTGAGACAAGGTCTCACTTGGTTGCCCAGGCTAGAGTGCAGGGGCACAGTCATGGCTCACTGCAGCCTCGGCTTCCTGGGCTCAAGCAATCTTCCCTCCTCAGCCTCCCCAGTAGCTGGGACTACAGGTGCACATCACCAGGCCCGGCTAATTTATTTTTATTTTTCATGGAGACCAGGTCTCACTATGTTGCCCAGGCTGGTCTCCAACTCCTGGGCTCAAGTGATCCTCCTGCCTCAGCCTCCCAAGGTGCTGGGGTTACAGGCAAGAGCCACCGTGCCCGGCCATTTCCTTTACATTTAATTTGTATTTCTAAGTTTGTCTTGTGGGTGTTTGCTTTGCAATGTTGCAGCCATTTTCCAAATCTAAAGGTTCAAGAGTGTTTGAGGAATTCTAATAACTCCCTGGTTTGCTCTATGCTAATGTCTATATACACAGTTTCATTCTGTAACAGTTAACTGGGTACTGCCTGAGCTTGGCAGCTCCTGTCCTAGCCCTGGACTGGGAAGCACGTATTCAGCAGGTGCTGTGGAACCAGCTCTGGGGACAGACAGATCAGCCAGCCTCCCACCCTGGGCTGGTGCTGACCTGTGCAGGGTCCCTCCTTCCCCTGAGCTGCAGCTGCCATGACTGTACTTCTACTGCTGCCACCTCCTTCCTGGGCCCCGGTTCCAGCCCAGCCACCCCTTGGTGCCCTGGACTGCCCTCACATAGACACCACGCAGCCAGGTCTGTGCTGCCCACCGTGCCCAGGGCCCTGCCTGCACATGCATGCACACATGTGCACACTGCCCCTGGTGCAACCCCTGTCGTGTGCACACTCCCCTGTCCCACCAGATTTGCCCACAAAACCCAAGCTGAAAAATAAAGTTATTGAGAATTTCTTTTCTTTTCTTTTTTCTTTTCTTTTTTTTTTTTTTTTTTTTTTTTGGAGTCAGAGTCTCACTCTGTCACCCAGGCTGGAGTCCAATGGCACCACCTCTGCTCACAGCAACCTCTGCCTCCCGGATTCAAGCAGTTCTCCTGTCTCAGCCTCCTGAGTAGCTGGGACTACAGGCGCGCGCCACCTCGCCTGGCTACTATTTTTTTTGTATTTTAGTAGTGACGGGGTTTCACTATGTTGCCCAGGCTGGTTTCAAACTCCTGAGCTCAATCAATTCACCCGTCTCGGCCTCCCAAAGTGCTGGGATTACAGAAGCGAGCCCATGCGCCCGGCCGAGGATTTCAAGACAGTAACAGCAAGGCATGAAGCCTTCCAAGTGTGGTGCCCTGTGTGTCTGCGGGAGCTGCGTGCCCGTGAAGCAGGCCCTGGGGCTGAGGCAGGAAAATACGGTCTGGAGGCAGGGAACACAAGGCGGATTCACACTTCAGCTATGACAGGACATGTCCTCTCCACGGGCACAAACCCAGCAAACGACTTTATAACTTCATTCTCTTCATTTACATAGGGCGGACCCCCAGTAGAGGGTATCTGAACTCACAAAAACTCTATGACGGGATCCTTAAGCCCCTACGCTCAGCCGCTCCCACGCTGTGGAGTGCACGTTCGTTCTCAATAAATCCCTGCTTTTGCTCTCCTCACTTTGTGTGTTTTGTCCAATTCTTTGTTCGAGACGCCAAGATCCTGGACACCCTTTCTGGGTACAGTAACAGGGCTTCCGAAACAGGGCTACAGAAGCCTTGGTAGGGGGATGACTGAAGGGGGAAAAAGGTAGGAAGTAGGCAAGCCCCACCCACAGAGTGTCCACGCCCTCCTCCGGTTCTGTCTACACTGCAGGAGCTAGAAGATAAAAATGACCATTCCAAGTCTATGGTAAGAATGAGGTCCTGCCAATCGAATGCCTTTCCCCAGGTCTGGAAGGGAAGGCAGGCAGAGGCCCGTGCCGGGGCTCATGTGTTGCTGTGCAAGAGGGCGAGCTTGGCACCTGCAGCTGGTCACCTGCTTCCCTGGCAAAAGGCCTGGATAGACGCACACCCCAGTGCTGTCACCAGCCTGTGGATGCCCTGAGGTGGCTCTCTGTCCCTGGACCACATGGCAGGTGCGCTGGAGCTCAGGGTTCCAGGACAGCTTGGAAGCCTGAGGTCTCCCAGGGCCAGCGCTGTGGATGGCTGGAGTCCTTCCAGGAGGTCCAGCCCCCAGAGCTGCCCTCAAGAACATAAGCTTCTGATTTCCACTCTGGATCCGCCTGACTGAAAATACCCCAAATGGCTGCTTTTCCTGCTCTGACTGAACCTCTGCTTGTACTTGCTTCCTGGGGCAGCCCTAACAAAGGACCACAAATGACAAGAACGTCCCTCTCCCAATCCTGAGGGCCAGAAGTCTGAGATGCAGGGGTGGCCAGGGCTGGTTCCTTCTGGGGCTGTGACGGAGCCTCTGCTCTGGTCTCTTCTAGATTCTGGGTCTTGCTGGCAACCCTTGGTCCTCTGTGACTTACAGAAGCATCACCCCAACCTCTGCCTTCATCTTCACGTAACGTCCTAATGTCCATCAATGACAGACTGGATAAAGAAAATGTGGTACATCTACACCACGGAATACTATGCAGCCATCAAAAAGAATGAGATCATGTCTTTTGCAGGGACATGGATGGAGCTGCAGGTCATTATCCTTAGCAAACTAATGCAGGAACAGAAAGCCAAATGTTGCATGTTCCCACTTATAAGTCAGACCTGAACACGAAGTACATAGGAACACAAGGGAAGAACAGCACCGTGGTACCCTTGGCAGCGGGGGTGGGGTGGGTGGGGGCAGGAGGAGGGAGAGGATCGAAAAGCTACCTATTGGATACTATGCTTCTTACCTGGTTGATGAAATAATCTACACACCAAACCCCGTGACGTGCAATTCATCTATATGGCAAGCCTGCACATGCAGCCCTGAACCCCAAGTAAAAGCTGAAAGAAAGCTTGTCTCCAGACAAGGTTGCCCTTAGAAAGCACTGAGCATTTGGGCTCCCCCAGCACTGGAATTTTTTGGGGGGAGGATCTATTCAACTCCCGGCTGCCTTCAAGCTTGTGTCCAGCAGCTGAGCGTCGTGTGCAGTCATTGCCTTCCCATGTCTGGTTTTTCAAGGCCCCGTGACATTGCAGATAAGCCCAAGTTCCTCCACATCTCCAGGTCTGGCTCCTGCATGCACTAGGGGCTTCCTGGGGCCTGATGTGCCACACAGCTCAGCATACAGACCCTTCCTCATCCTTCTGCTGAAGTGGCCTGGCCCTGAGCTTCCCTCCCTCCCACAGGACGGCGGTGCCTCTGTGGCTGACACCACCGCCCTCACCACCTGTCCCTCTCCCCGCCTCTCCCCACGTACCAGATTGTGAGCTTGGGTTTACTCTGCTCTGTCACCTCCAGAGCCCAACACAACAAGGAGCCCAGAGAAGAAAGCTATAGATGTTAGTTCTGTGCATGAAGACATGGACCACAGCATGAAAGATGCTGAGGGGAGAGAAATGGGAACAGTCCCGGGGTGGGGGCAGGAAGGTGGTGCTTCTGGGAATTAGAGAGTGGTGGGAAGGAGAGAGCCACAAGAGAGTGAGCTTTGTGCCTCGAGACTGTTTATTTAGAGGGTCAGGATTCAGTCTTGACATACTGATAGCCAGAGAGATTAAGGGTGGATCACACTCCTGAAAGAAGGGGCAGCTGTCAGGGTCTAAGGGGTCTGAGCTGCCTCTGGGGCCTCAGTGGGCCGCTTTGGATCTTAAAAGAGTGTGGAACAGGGAGATGAAGTTCAGGAGAAGTAGTGGGCAGTGAGCCAGAAGGGGTCCCCAGTCAGTTTCGGGAGCGCTGGTGTGGAGTGGATGAAGCCAGTGAGGACACAGTGGAGACAGTGGAGCACCAGAGAACCCAGAGCGAGGAAGCTGGGCAGCTGGACGCTTCGCCAGTCAGGCCACCTACAGTCTGCAGCCAGAGCCTCAGATCTTGCACTGGCAGCACACGGGGACACAGCAGCTGGACTGGCAGCAACAGGGCTTACAGCAGCTGGACTGGGAGCAGCAGTGTTTGCAGCAGCTGGACTGGCAGCAACAGGGTTTGCAGCAGCTGGACTGGGAGCAGCAGGGTTTGCAGCAGCTGGACTGGGAACAGCAGGGTTTACAGCAGCTGGACTTGGAACAGCAGGGTTTGCAGCAGCTGGACTGGGAGCAGCAGGGTTTGCAGCAGCTGGACTGGCAGCAGGATGACGCACAGCCTGAGGAGCAGCAGCAGGGCTTACAGCAGCTGGATTGGCAGCAGCCACAAGAAGCACAGCCCCCCTTGGAGCCCCCACAGGAGCCACAGCCCCCCTTGGAGCCCCCACAGGAGCCACAGCTGGAGCAGGAACAGGCTGGCACACAGCAGCACACAGGCTTGCAGCAGCAGACAGGCACACAGCAGCTGGAGCCACAGCCCCCACAGCCAGAGCCACAACCTCCGGAGCAGCCACAGCAGCCCATGGTTCTGGTGGATTGAGGGTGGAGCAGGTAGAGGAACAGGTGAGAGGGAGGTGCAGGTGTGGAGCTCCCTGAGCCTGGGCCCCTTATATCCCTGGGTAGGGTAGCTCTGAGACCTCGGTCACTCCATCATTGCCAGCACTTCCTGGGTATGTGATTATCTGTTTGCTGGACTTCCGGTTCTCATTGGCCTGATCCAACACCCACCTGCTTACCTTTCTAAATGTAGCCACTTCCTCCTTGGAACTGGACCTTGTACTGAACCTGATCACCTGCCTTCTGTTTTCCTCACATGACTGGCAGAGGACAGGTGATCATTTTGGTTGTTTTCTTCCCACCAATGGCACCACGTTTTTCTTTGAGACTGTGATCTCTGTGTAAAGAGAATTTTTTAAAAACTAAGCTTTCATCCATATAATTAAAGAGGCAAATTGAGGAACAAATGTTGTGTCCTGGTTCTGTCTTAACACGTGGGTGCACGTCATTCAGCCTCTCCTCCACCGGCCTCAGGTCGTGGGGCGCTCAGGACCCCTGGCTGCTGCATACACAGCCTCACACAGTGAGTATCGTTCATGTTAAAAATCTTCAGGAATTTCATGGGTGGATGGAGGATCTCATTTATCACCCTGTTGTTAATCTCTTCAATTAACTATTAGTGAGGGGGATTCTTTACTCCATATAAATTATATACTTTTTTGACTTCTATTACTGCTTCAAAAGTTATTTGGATATTGAGAGAACGAATCCCTCGTGTCCAAACAGTGCACTTTGTTTTTCCACAGGTGTGTACTTGGGTTTAATTTCCGACTAGTTTTTAAACACTATTCTCACTTTGTCTTGTCATTTTATTTTCTGCCTCGCCAACATTATTAGACGGTAAAAATGAGTATCTTTCAAGCTACTTGAAATGGGTGAAAGGTCTTGTCTTGTCTGGAAGAGGTGAGAGAGAGGGTTATAGGCTCCATAGTTCCCCTTGCTAATGGGGGCCGGGGGGGCAGGGGACTGAGAGAAACCCACAGAGAGGGAAGTGCCCACTGTGCTGAAAATACCCTCTTCCAAGGGAACACACTGAGTAGAGGATGCAGCCCTGTGTGGCAACAGTTCACTCCTCCCGACTGGACGCGGTGAGGCTGGGGTGGGGACATTTCGTAAGACCTGGATCGTGAGCGCAGAGCCCAGGCATCCTAACAAATCTGTCCCCCACCAACCCTGCCCGAGGCTGCACTGGACGTGAGCAGACCCACACGCACCCCAGGCGCTCACCAGAGCTTGGCAGCTCTGCCCTCAGGTGCTGGGTGAAGGGAACCAGGAGCATCCCTTTTGGTTCAACATAGGCAGAAGATCTAGACAGGATTGGCCAAACCCAAGAGAGGTAACGTGAGATTCTGTAACAGCTACGAAAACAAACCTTAAAAAACAAAAGGAGGAGGAAAGGAAGGAAACAAACCTTTCCAAGAGAACTCGTCATTCAGGAGACAAAAGTAGATTTCCTGCAAATTGTTGAGGTATGCAGCAAATAATAACAAATACGGCAGCAAATTACAAATACGGCATAGTAACTTTAAAAGGGCTCTCAGTTGAGATGGTAAAAATAGAGAGTAAGTTTTATTTTGTTTATTTGTTTATTTTTTGAGATAGAGCTTTGCTCTTTCGCCCAGGCTGGAGTGCAACGATGTGATCTTGGCTCACTGCAAACTCTGCCTCCCGGGTTCAACCGATTCTCCTGCTTCGGCCTCCCAAGTAGCTGGGATTACAGGCGCCCGCCACCACACCCCACTAATTTTTGTATTTTTAGTAGAGACGGTATTTCACCATGTTGGCCAGACTGGCCTCAAACTCCTGACCTCAAGGGATCTGCCTGCCTCGGCCTCCCAAAGTGTTAGGATTACAGGCGTGAGTCTACATGTCCGGCCTATAGAGTAAGTTTTAAAAGGAAGAGTGGAGGCCTTGGGAAATAAATGAGCACCAGAGGGAGGTCATTACGGTTTGAGTTGGTGGTTAGGAAGAGTGAGGAGCGGAACGGAGGTGGCTGGGACTTGGATCGACGACATCCAAGAAAGATGCGAGATACTCACCGTGTGGCTAAAGCACAAAGCTGTGGAATCACCAGAGAGGGGCTGGCAGACGAGGAGGACAGGAAAGCTACAGCATCGGTGTAAGTAACAGAGCCTTTAACAAACGGAGCAGGAAACAGATTCAAAAGTCAAAGAAATGCGCCATGACCCGCAGGAAGATCTGAAAGTTTAGCCCCAAAGAGCATAGCATGCTCCAGGAAAGAATGAATGCACAACGCTGAGGACCGAGCCCCTGGCGGTTTGGTGACAGAACTCCAAAGGCTGAATCAACGTTGCCGCTTCTGCAAATCACCGGCCAGTCCGCCGTGGCTGTCTGGGCTGAGGGTGCTCATAGCGAGCTGCTCCTAGATGCTCCTCAGAGAGGTTGTAAACCCAAAGATAGGGGATCCATTTCTCCAAAAAGTAGACAAAACCAAACATGACCCAAGAATATGGCGACAAAACGTCCTCCAAGTAGAAGAAAACAGGAAGACAGCCTTCCAAATGGCAGAAATCTAAGATGACAGCACCTGGGACTCTGGGGAAAGTCACATGGACCCTACACAACTGGGATTTATTCCAATTAAAGAAGTGAGGCAGGGACAGGCAAGGCAAGAAGCGCTGAGGACAATAGAATGAAGACCAGCACTTAGCAATTAACTACACGGGCGATGGTTAGTTGCAGCAGAGCCCAGCTGCATTCCCAGAGAGAAAAACGAGCCTGATGATATCTCTGCTCTCCACCTACTCGGGCCCTTTCCACAGCCTCCAGGTGGGTGGGGGCTACAGCCAAGGATGGACCCGGTGTCCTAGGGCAGGAGTCCTCAACTCCCAGGCCGCAGACCATGGCCTGTTAGGAACCAGGCCTCACAGAAGGAGGTGAGTGGAGGGCGAGCGAGCATGGCCTCCCATCCCTTCAGCCGCCACATTAGATTGTCATAGGAGCGAGAATCCTACTGTGAACTGTGCGCACGAGGGATCTAGGGTGCGTGTTCCTTACAAGAATCTAATCCCTGACGATCTGAGATGGAAGAGTTTCATCCTGACTCCAGCCCCCAACCACCCCCCTGGGTCCGTGGAAAAATTGCCTTCTACAAAACCGGTCCCTGGTGCCAAAAGACAGTGGGGGTTGCTGCCCTCAAGTGCTCTTGTAAACGGTCCTGCATTGGCGTTGCTGGGCTGCTGGCCTCCCTGGTGGGCATCGATCCTGGTCCCCCGCCACACCCGTGGGTCAGCACCATCTCTACCTTCTCACGGGTGCTACTGTTTCCGTGCTTTTCTTATTTTTACTTTTTCCTTTTCATAGGCTCTTTTCTTGCTTCTATGGACTTGAAAAAGTTTCTTTCTTCCTTTCTCCTCTTTTTCTAGTGCTTTGCACTGATGTTTTTATTTCTACTTTTCCCCAGTGGTGACTGTGAAAATTTTAACATGCATGTTTAACACAGTCTGAGATCAGCCACCATCTTCCACTGGCCCCGCACAGAGGTGGGTGATCCCCTCAGACTAGCGTCTCCTGTGCCGACCTGAGTGCCATCCAGTGCTTCTGATCCGCCTTCTTCCTGTACCCCCAGCCAGTCATGAGCATCCTACCCGTCATTTCTTCTTTAGATACAGAACGTTTACCTTCACGAGAACCTCATCCTTCCATCCGGAATGTATCAAGTTGAAAAAGATACTTCTGTCCCTCAGCTCATGGTCAGGCACGCCATAGCTAATAGTTACACCTGCTGAGGTGAACGTGTGAATCCTTCTCTCCCTCAAGGCACTTTTGTAATGAGTACAAAATGGTACATTTCCTGACGGTGAGCCATCTTAACATTCTTGGAACAAACCCTACTTATGACTTGCTATTTTTAAATAATCATATTGGAGTCTATTTGATTCAGAAATTATGTGCATTTGTTAATAATGAAATGAAGTTAAAAATTTCTTTTGTTTTACTGGCCTTAACTTTTTCTTTTCTTTTCTTTCTTTCTTTTTTTTTTTTTTGTGTGTGTGTGTGTGTGTGTGAGACAGAGTCTCGCTCTGTCACCCAGTCTACAGTGCAGTGGTGCAGTCATAGCTCCCTGCAGCCTCGACCTCCTGGGCTCAAGAAATCCTCCCACCTCAGCCTTCCGAGTAGCTGGAACTACATGTATGCGCTCACACACCCAGCTAATTTTTGTATGTTTTTGTAGAGATGAGGTATCACTACGTTACCCAGACTGGTCTCAAACTCCTGGGCTCAAGTGATCCTCCCACCTCAGCCTCCCAAAATGCTGGGATTGCAGATGTGAGCACCTTCACAAGATCTTTTCATTCTTCTCTGTCAAGCTCCAAATGTTGCTGGGTGGTTCTGGCTGGGGGTCTGGGGCTGCATCCCCTGAAGGCTCGGCTGGTGTTGACCCACTTGCAGGATGGTACATGCCTTGGCTAGTGGGTAGGAGGCCTCAGCTTCTCACCTGCAGGGCTCTCCATGGGGCTGCTATTGGCACAGCATCTGACTTCACCCAGAAAGAGCAGTACTGAGAGAGAGAAAGGGAGAGAGACAGAGAGAGGTGTTGTACTACCCTTCATGTCCTAGCCTCCAAGCCCTGCACCATCATGCTGTCTGCCATCTTTGTCACGAGAAACACACTTTGCTGCTGGCCTTCTCCTTGTCGCTTCTTCTGCAAGTCCTTCTGCTGGAGCCTCCCCTGCTGCACGGCATCAGCCAGCACTTCACCATCTCAGGAAAAACCGCCCCTGACCTTCCTCTCATCTGAGTGTGGTTTCAGGTGGTGGAGGAGTAAAACTCTGTGGGGTCAGCCTAGCCCGTTTTAGAAGGAGAAATCCTTCCAGCTCTCTCTTACTTGGCGCCCGCTCTTCTGTTGGGTTCTTGATCTGAAACCTACAGATACAGGTGGACAGCAGGTCCTGTCTAGATACTGCACAGTTTTATGTAAAGTTCTGTGTTTTTGTGCATGTTTGTAGACTTGCTTAAGGAGAAGCTCTGTAAAAATCCACAGAAGAGTCTATGAACCCAAAGTAGTTAAGAAGGGGTCTGCAGATAATTCCAAATGTGGAACATGGGAGAAAAGACTATTCATATTCATGTCCGTTTTAAGCTGAAAAGGTGAAAAAAATAAAATTAACTAAGATTAAAATAGCAAATGACTAGACAGGAGCGTATGCACCTTATATAATACACACATTTCAGGGGCATTTTCTCAAAAGCTACATATTCATGGGGTTTCCCACCGGACAGGGTGGAGACCACTTCCATGTTGATTGTTCCATCAGAGCCTCGC